GACAATGTAATTTGCATACTTGATAGCTTCACCCCAGTATATCATATCAAGGTTGGCGTCTTCTAGGAGACAACGCATCATGGTTTGCAGAACCCCTCTGTTGTGAGCCGATGTGTCAGGGGGTGAAGTCTGATGAATAATTCTATTCTTACGCATCCAGTCCTGGAAACGCTGAGACATGAACTCGGCACCACGATCACTCTGGATTCTGGCGATGCGAACTTGGTGTTGGGTAGAAACAAGGGTTGCAAAGTCTTTAAAGATCTGAAAGGTCTCTGATTTTTCTTTCATAGGATATCCATATCCATATCTAGAGTAATTATCAACAATTGTTAGAAAATATTTTCTACCACCAAATGATGGCGGGAAAGGACCAACTATGTCAATGTGAACCAAATCAAAAATGCGTGTTGACAGGCGTGTAGCGCGTTTGGGAATGGCTGCTGCTTTGGATTTGGCCTTTTTGCATACAGCACAATTCAAAAACACCTTACACCCCTTTAGATCCAAACCTTTTGCGAACTCCGGCATCTTCCTAAGAACACGGAAACTGGCATGCCCCAATCTTCTATGCCATTTGTGGATACACCTGGAATGCAAAGGTTTACCTGTTAGTGAATTCTCAACATTAACATTTTTATGCGGAACCTCAGGCTTGCTCTGAGCAACCTGTTTACCAATTCTATTTTTGTTGGCTTTAGGACCCTTTGGAATAGCAACAGGATCTCTCTCTGGAGCATCTCTCTCTGGGCCTGTGCCTTCCCTTTTTGGAGTTTGCATACTTGCCTGTGTTTGTGTTTTAGGCTTTGGCTTTAAGTAATAAACACCATCAATTAATATGGTTTCAGCAACAATATCTCCATCTTTAACTATGTAACTTGCTTTTTCAAGGTGGTGAACCTGAAAATTTAATGTTCTAGACAAGTGATTCTGACTAAGCAAATTACTGGTTGCTGTTGGTATGTAATAAACATCAGGAATGAATGCATCGAGCTCTTCAACATAAACAGTTCCTTTTCCTTTGACCTGACAAGGATGATTTGAAAAAGAATAAAGTTCACGTAGTTCTGGTTCAGGCTCGTGCATTTCTGTGAAAAGTTCCTTTCTGTAGGTAACATGCAATGCTGCACCACTGTCCAAAGTCCACAGGAGTCGTCTGTCGTACTCTGGTTGAGGTTGTGGATCATTGGTTAAAGCCAATGTGGCGAGTGGAGTTTGTGGATCACGCCGGGGACCACGACGACCTTGTCTTCCGCCTCTGCCTCTGCCTCTGGAGTCTGTTCCTCTGGGCTGGTACGTGACGGGAGCTGGAACTCGTTGGGGACAATCCCGGGTGGCATGTCCCACACGATTGCAGGTGTAGCATCTTGGCGTCCTTGGAGCGTAGGTCCTTCCTCGGAAGGGGCGCCTAGCTGGAGCTCTTGATGCGGGTGGTCCTCTCAAATGTGGTGTGGCTAGCATGAATGCCTCTTCTTCAATTAAAAGTCTACAGACATTGTCCACTGTGCGTTGAGCAATTGGGACTTGGTTAATTTTTGTAACAGCATCTTTCCATTCATAATTCAAAGAGTTAATAATGATGCTGATCATTTGAATATCTTCAATGTTATGGCCTCTTTCTCTCAATTCTGTTCTCAGACCTTTCAGTTTGGTCAAATGTCCTCCAATTTGTTCACCAGGTTTCAATCTCGAACCGTGGAGTTCAGACATTTTTAGTTTTGACTCACCAGTTAGTGGAGAGACAGAAAATGCCTGGTAAGGAGCCTGCACTTGGTATGCTGGCTGTGCTGGCAGAAATGCCTGTGGTATTTGCTGTGCCTGTTGTGGACCTAAAAATGGTCTTGGTTGTGCCATTGGAGGTGGGCCAGGAGGTGGCCCTCTTTGCACTTGTGGCTGGGGCACATATGCAGGCATTTGTAGCTGCTGTGGCTGATGCACTGGAATCTGCTGTATTCCAGTTGCCATTTGTGCTTGAGCTGCAATATTGGCGTGGCCTGCTGGAGATGCAATCATTTGCCTTTGCTGCATAAAGTTTGCCTGTGTTCCATCTAAAAAGACACCAACACCGCCAGGGGGTGTTTGAGTTTGGGCCTGTGGAAACACTTGTGGCATTTCAGCTTCCTGTAGTACTTTTGCCAGCAGATGGTGCTGCACCTTTAGCTTCGGGCAGCTTTGCATACGGGGCATTGTATGCTTTAGAGTAGGAGTGGTTATGTAAGACATGTGTAACTTGATCAGGGAGACTTTCATGTGACGTATGCAGTGCTCTTTGCCTTAATTGGCCTGACACAGGATCCACCAGGGGGAGTGTCTTTGGCTCTGAGCAAGAAGACAATATGGCGCTTTTTGAAAAATTTAAGTTATCTCCCATATCTTGCTCAAGCATAGATATAGCCATTTTTGCTTGGGATAGCTGCTGTTCATAGAGTTTTATACGGTAGGCTTTCATGGCCAGCTCATCCAGGGTGAGCTTAGAGCTTCGAGGAGAATAATGAATTGTTTCTCTCTCTGTGTGGGAGGAATTTTGCTCAGCAGTGTGCTTTGGCCTTGCATCGAGCGTTACAAATTCAGAAGGTTCTGGGAAGACTTTTTCAGAGCTTGGAAGACCAGAAGAAAATGTTACTGACCTCAGTCGTAAATCATCATCTTCAAAAACAGCTTCTGTCTTATCTGTCTCCATTTCTGTTCCCACGGCTTCTTCTTGTTCCAGGCGTGTGGCTGTAGTAAGGGGCTGGAAATCTGGAAACCTCCTTTTCTGCCACCTTCTCAGCAAAATACATTTTGTATTTGTTTTACTTCTGTTTCGACATCTCAGCAATATAATTAGCATACCTCAGTAGCTAAAAACTAATTGCCTATGCGCTCTTATCAGAAATAACAAAAACAAGGAAAAAAGCCATAAATCAAACCATCCTCTGCTACCAGAATGTCAGGGCATTTATTAATCCCATGTTTGGCTCTGGGACTAATTACCCTGGTTTGGAGGAGATGAATCGAGGCTTATCCTTGTTGCAATATTTTGAAAAGAAACGCGAAGGAAGGTTTCTAATAAAACTCATTTATTTGTTATAAAGAAAATAAAACACCTCACTAACTAAGAAAAGTTAATTGTTACATTTTTGAAAGTAATTCTTGCCGGCTATGTCAGCCGGACCTTGGCAAGAGAACAAAGGAAAGAGTGTGAGAAGCAAGTGAAGGAATGTGGGTGGATACGGAAACACGTAGCTTACTGATAAGAAGTTGGCAAAGCTACGGAGAGTCTGACAGTCCAGAAATAATGAGCTCAGCTGGTAAATAAAATAACGCAGTGACACATTATTGTTTTTATTCCGTGCAAAAAATTTTAACAGCTTGGGAAGATGGAGTCCCCCCCTTTGCCAATTACATTACAGATTAGTTAAATAAAATAATTGATTAAAATGATTAATTCATTTAATTAAATCTTTTCCTGTTAATGAAATCGCAAAGCTGTAATTCAGCTATCCTTTCCTTTAATAAATTGATTCCCAGGGGCTTTTAGAGAAAAACATGATTTTCATAACTCATTAAAATAATAACAAGTCTCATTCATGTCAAAGTCAATTCTTGATTTCATAGACAAGTCCATGTAGTTTGCTTGACAAGAATATGAATATGGTTTGGGGTTGCATTCTTCACCAGTCTACTGTCAAGCCAATCTTATCCACAGGCTTGTATTTTTTCCTGGACCTAGCTGAAGCTGGACTGATGCTGCCACCTGCTGACTGAATGGTTAAAAGGCTTTCTTATTTATTAGCATCACTTTTCTACTTCTGAACAAGAAAAAGTAAGCGAAAAGTTTGATAGCTTTCATATAAATACAGGTAGTCCTCAATTTACAATGGCAAAGTTACAACGGCACTGAAAAATGTGAGTTATGACTGTTTTTCACAGTTACGACCTTTGCAGCATCCCCATGATCATGTGATCAAAATTCAGATGCTTGGCATATTTATGACCGTTTGTGTCCCAAGGTCATATGATTTACGACCTTCTGACAAGCAAAGTCAATAGGGAAGTCAGATTCACTTAACAACTGGGTTACTAACATATCAACTGCAGTGATTCACTTAACAACTGTGGCAAAAAAACCTCATAAATGGGGCAAAACTCACTTAACAACAGAAATATTGGGCTCAATTGTGATTGTAAGTTGAGGACATCTGTAGAGACAAAAATTACTTAGAGTTTATTTTATGAATGAAAAGCTGTGCTTACACAGCATGCTAAATTCTGGATACTTTTGTCATGTTTTACTGAACAAAACAATTGGTGCAGTTCCTACAATACACTAAATCATAATTGTTAGTTTACAAACAATAGTAATGAAAATGGTAAAAGCAGCTGTCTGGAGAAGGGTTTAATGTTGGCAAAGGTGCAAGGAAAGAGAAGACGAGCAAGATCACTAGCAAGATGGATGGACTCAATTACAGTTGCAATGGATGCACTATTGGAAGACTGGGAACAGGGCCGGATTTAGATGAAAAGAGGCCCTAGGCTATTCCACTTATGAGGCCCTTTCACCTATAGTGAAAGTGTAATTTTAATTTTGCTAACAATTTGAATGTAGGGAATGTAGGCCCCTCTTGATCTTGAGGCCCTAGGCTGAAGCCTAGTTAGCCTATAGGAAAATCCGGCCCTGACTGGGAAGGACCAGGTTAGAGACAGATCATTATGGAGAAAATCTATTTCTGTGGTTGCTAAGAATCAATAGACTTCAAGGTACATTAACAATTAGTATGGCAATTCCTGTACCTATTACTTCAATATATCATGGTTTAGTTACAAGCAGGCAGCATAATAATGTAAATACAAACAGGAGGAATCACTAATCTGTGAGACTGCCTTATCGTCGCTGGACTATAACTCCCAAAACTCTTCACTATTGAACCTGCTAGCTGAGGTTGCTGGGAGTTGTAGTTCAGCGGCATCCGGCCGCAGCGTGACTCTCCAGTCTCGTTTTAACTCAGTGTAAACAATGCGCAGTAGGGGAAGGGCCAGCAAGAAAGCCACAAGGAAATCTTTTTCATAATGGACGCAGTCGCAAGAAAGTCCAAAAATTGGATAAATGAGCGAAACCAACCGCCGCCTGGATCTAGAACAGGTGAAAATCCTGAATTCTGCAAAAAAAAAAAAAAAAAAAAACCTGGGGGGAATCTTTTCCCTTTGTCCTGGGAAAGAAAGGACTGTGCGCGCACGCGCGGGAACCGCCACTCGCGCAAGCGCATAAAGGGCAGGAGGCCAGGGCGCGCCCACGTGATCAAGAATGCTGGCTTTTTCTTTTTTTTTTTCCTTTCCTGCTGTCTTACAGAGCGAGGAATTTGAGCGGGAAATCGCTTTTCCGCCTGCGGCCTAGCAGGGCTGGCGGCGTCGCCAAAAAGAAAGGACCGGAACGTGCCGTGCGTTGCTTGGCGGCGGCTCCTGCGGCGCCCTTCTTAAGTCAGGGTCCGGCGCCAAAGGGACGGGAGTGGAGCAGGTAGAATTAGATGGAGGGAGCCTGGCGAAGCCTCCCGCCTGCGGGGATGGCAAGGGATGGATCAGAAGGACCGCCCGCTCTGCAATTGCGGCTCGGTGCCTTGGGAGGGCGAGGCTGCGCCTGGGGGCTGAGTTGTCACTTTGGGCCTTTGACGTTTCCTCCCGAGAGTCTTGCCTACTTTCCTCACCCCACCTGCCCCGGTTAACCCCTCGCCTTTTGTCTTTCTCGCCCGTTTTGTTTTTTTTTCCCAGCTCAGCATGCAGGAGCCTGGATGGGAAGAGCACGTTGAGTTTCTGAAACTCTTTTCGGTGTTCAGGGTTTAATTATGATTTTTGCAGCCGTCCCATCACTTGGGTTTCTCCTCTCCCTCTTAAGTGCAAGTGGAGCGAGAGGAAAGGATGACTTCCTTTGGGAGGTCACTTGAGGACTAAAAAAGGAGGGAGGTTGGAGGCGGGATTTGCATGAAGAGGTGTTCTAATTTTTTTTTTAAAAAATCAGGTTTAGAAATTCTTTAGTTACAAAAGATAGTTGGACTTGAATAGCATTGGAAGTTTTTTCCCTCCCCCCTCTCTCTGCAAAGAACCTTGCACAAAATTAAAGCTCTTTTCTGTTTATCTGATTACGGAATAATGGTTATATACATCTGTGGTAGCACTGTCATGGATATCAGTTATTATATGACTGGAGTTTTTCATGCTTTCTGTGCAAAATGAAAATTAATTCAGCAAGTTCCGTGTCTGGATTACATAAAGCCATGAATGCATCATTCATAAATATTTGCTGTGACATAGCTCTCATTATCTTGCGGGGGTTTATTTTGAAAATGAGGGTATAGCTTTTAAATATTATTAACAAGTGTACCTTGCTAATGTGTGAGATATTTATAAAAATTCCTGTATAATTGTTAAGTCCACATAGAATGATATATCTGCTGAGAGTAATGTTTGTTGACTCTGGTAGTATATAAACATAAATATAGCAGAACACATTTTTAAAATATATTTTTAAATAGAAATCACCCATCTGGAAGGGGAAAGCTGTGAAGGAAACTTGTTCTTCTTTGCCTGAAGTTGTTGGCTGTTCTTTGGTGTGCTTTTTATTGTTGTCTGAATGAATGCCCCATTAAAAACAACCAAAAGCTATGTAGATTTGATGCTGACTTAAATAACCAAATGTAAAATTATTTTTTGGAAAGGAAGAAGCTATGACCAACATTTCAAGCCACCATTCTATTTTTGAGTAGACTTATTCGTCCAACATTATCAGGTAATAACATACCACAGAGTTTGCTGTGAAATTCAGTAGCTGATTTGCACTTGTGTGGTAGCTGTTGGTTGATTGGAGCAGTTCAGTGATTAATATGAGATAAAAGAATTATCCTATTAAGAAATAACAGAAAACAGGAATAGAAGGAATAGAAAAAAGTCTGTATAGTTCCCAGACTTTTAGTTGGGTATATTACTGTGCTGCAAGAATGGTTTCATATGTGTCCAATGTTCTGACCTAGGCTTCCTTAGAAATTAAACAGCACAAACTTAGTCCTGGCAAACCTCTTTAATTCATACAGCTGTAAATTACTTTAATTTACCTTTCCTCTTTCAGAGGAAGGTTATCAACACCCACCTATCTCACGTGGAACACTGCCAAAGAGCTAATTTCCAGACACAGGGCAAGGCCAAACTTGGCACAGAGTCTCAAATAGAAGTTTCAAATCTTCCAGCCAGATGAACTAATTGCTTCCTGCAAAAGCTCATGTCGCGTCTCTTTTATGTCTTATGGGAGGGGCCAATCATCCCCAACCTTAGTGCCAAGTCGACCCTGTTTCCTTAATTGTTCCTGTCTCCTGGCAGCTCTGCGCATGCGCACACTGGGAGCAGGCTCATGCTGCTGTTCTGCCTCGCTGATGTCAGACTCCGGAGACTTCGGAGGCAGCAAAGAACTACCAGATGGCCTTGGGCCCCTCTCTGCCGCTGACTCAGAGCCATTGTCCGAGCCTTCCCCAGACTCCAGGACTGGCCCACATTCCTCCCCAACCTCCTCACTGTCCGAATCTGCTGCCAGCTCTGCTGGCCGCTGGTGGGCCATAACATCCAAGAAATACTTACTTTGACCTTGACCTGACTTGACTTGCAGGTCTGAGTAATTTTGCCAGAATCTATAATATCTGTATTCCAATGCTTAAAGATAAATTTAAATATTTAAAACTTAAATTAGAAATATCCCTATTACAGCCATTAGTAGGTTTGGAATTATATTCTAGACAAAATGTTTAACTAAATTAAATATTCAAACACTTGCCTCTTATGTGCTTGTTGTAAGTTTTAAACATCATGCAAGATGGGAAGAGCAGATGTGATATTTCCATTTAGATTTGTTTTGTTTCTAGGATGCTGGGTGCATGTGGCATGCAGAAATGTCACCAAGAAATTCTCAGAAAGAACCGTGTATCCCTAGCAAGTCAACTAGTATTGAAGGAACTAATGGAACATCTTATAGAAAAAGATATTATCACGGAAACAATGATGGAGATGATACAGGTGTGTTTGGTTTTATCATAACTGGGCTTAATTTTAATTACCCCAAGTGACCTTTGCTTTAACATATTGTTTATGCTTTCAAATGTTAACATTGAATTCTTCATGAATTAATACCAGCAGTTTCAGGTAGCGTATAGTGGTATAATTAAATCCTTATAGATGAATAAAAATTTATAGTGTCTTGCTTGATCATCTGTGGTGAGAATTGCTTCTAAATATAAATGGGAACACTTTTTAAGTGGGACAGATATTTCTTTTTTTTACTTTAGGCCACCAGTACCGAAACTAATAGAAAGAGAAGGTTTGCTTGATAAATTTTCTGTCTTACAAGCCACATTGCAGAGTAAGAAGTAGAAGAGGAAATAAAACAAATAAGTTTTAGCAGGCAGTGCTTAGATAAGTAAGCAAAATATAGCTATTGATGTAAGAATCTCTTTTCTCAGTAGTTCTCAAAAGTAAAATTTTAAAATCATTTGCATCATTAAACATAGTAACTTAAATTATTGGAATGCTTTTGAAATATTCATATTCCATATTTTTCCTAAATTGCAATTGTCTTGCTGTGTGTTGAATGATAAAAATTTGACCAATATATTGTAGGAATGTAAATGTTGGAAAGCGATATAATTTTCTAGCTATCAAGCTGGGAGACAAACTCACCAATAACAACCAGATTTATTTCTATTCCTATTTATTAAAACAAAGAAAAACTGTGTTATATAGAATGTTATATTTATGAGATGTGATCTGAACTTCTTTATGTGTCAGTGTGCTTAATTGCATGACAAACTTTAAAATTATTATGTAGGGGTTTTTTTATTGTCACTATCTTAAGCATTGTATGTTCAGTGAAACAGAATAAATATTTAATATTTATATTTCTCATACCCTGTGAGTTTTTCTTGGTATATAATATTTGAGAGCCAGTTTGATGTAGTGGTTAAGGCATAAAGCTAGAAATCAGGAGAATGTGAGTTCTAGCCTCACCTTAGGCACAAGGATGGATGGCCTTGAACTGGTCATTCTCTCAACCCTAGGAAGGTGGCAGTGGCAAACCATCTCTGAAAAACCTTGCTGAGAAAACTTGTTTAGGTAGTCTTGGTGAATAGAACATGATTGAACAGAAGAACAAAAAACTTAAGTTGCTTTTTGTGAGACAAAAGATAATAGTATAGGAAAAAGATTAATGAAAACTATGAGCATTGAAAATATTATTAGATGGAATGATTGATTTTTCATATTTTTGATCCCTATCAAAATGGTGGCCGCCTACTGCTGCATCATAGAGAGTATTTTAACTTACTGCATCTGTGTATGGTTTGCCAATTGCACAGTGGCAGCTAGGACAGCACTCTAGAGGGTCAACGTCATTGCCCAGAGGATCATTGGTTGCCCTTTCCCCTCCTTGGAAGAGCTTTATAGCTCCCTCTGCCTTAAGAAAGTTCAAAACATTCTTAAAGATTCGTCTCATCCTGTGCACCCTTTTTTTTGAACTATTACCATCTGGCAGACGGTACAGGTCAATAAAAACAAGGACAAATAGGCTGAAAAACAGCTTCTATCGCAGGGCAATAACCACATTGAATTCTACGGTATAGTGCAATATCGGGTTTTCAATTTCAATCATATAGAATGTAAAGGATGTATGTGTTTTTGTTTTTATAGTTATAATGTACACTGAGGATGGCATTTAATTTTGTTGTACCATATCCAATGACAATAAAGTAAACTATAAACAATAAACTATCGCTCTCAGAGAGGGACTCTGGTTGCTGTACAATAAAATGCTAATATATAAAAACAACACATGCTTTTCGGATTGACAAATGCCATCTTGCATGATCAAATGCAGCATCCTGGTCATGTCTGCATTTTGACAGAGATGGCTACAGATCCATTGGTTGCAAAAAAACCCAAAAACCCACCACCTTGACTGACTGGCTTGTTGCCTGCATCTGACCTTGGTTTGGTCTGTGCTTAGCTTATCACCACCCTAATGGGCGGGTAGCATCCAGCAGCACCACTAGGAGGAGCAGACCTTACTGCCAAAATATAAAAACTGCCAGCATGTAAGAATTAAAAATGAAATATAATCAGAATTTAAAAGGAAGCAAGGATGATTGAAAATTGATTAAAAATGCAAAGGGAGAGTTCTCAGGGCTCCAACCAGTCGCACAGCTGCGGGCCCTTTTGAGATCCCCCAAGCAAGGGTGCAGAGCCATGTTTTAACTCCTTTTAAAGAAGGAGTTTAGAAGGCCAGGAGAGTGGGGAGATTATTCCACAGGGCTGGTGCGACGGCAAAGAACACTCTTCCTAGACTCTGCCAGTCGAAATTCTTTAACTTAAGGCATCTGCAACATGCCTTCCCTACTTGACTGGATGGGATGGGTAATAACAATTAACAATAACAACAACAACAACAACAACAATAAATCAAAAACATCTGCCAGACTATCCCTCCTCCTTTACAAGGAGATTCTGAAGCTGTATGGAAAAACACCATCTGAAATAGAATCGCTGCTCAACACTGTCCATACATATAGCCAAGGTGTTGCAGTGGAGTTTGGATTGGACAAATGTGCCACACTCACTATCAAACAAGGAGAAATTGTGAAAACTGAAGGAATCAAGATGTCTCAGGAAAATAACATTTAAGAGTCTGGGTGTAGATGAATACCACAAATACCTGGGTATCCTTCAAGCTGACAACATCAAGCACACTGAAGTCAAGAAAAAGATTAGAGTGAAGAAGATCTTAAAACTCAATGGATGAAATATCATCAAGGCAATCAACACCTGGGGCAATTCCAGTCATTAGATACACCGCTAGAATAGTGGACTGGACTCAAGCAGAACTAAAAACAATGGATAGGAAGACCAGAAAAACAATGACAATGAATGCCCTTCATCCTTGCAGTGACATTGACAGACTATCTACCAAGGCAAATAGGTGGGCATGAATTGTTGCAACTGCATCAGATGGTTGAAGATGAAAAAAGGACTTTGGAAGAATATCTAAAAGCAATGAAGAAGATGCATTGAAATTAGTACACCAGGAAGGCTTACTGACTTTTGGAGAGACAAGAAAGACCAAATGAAAAATAGAACGGAGACATGAAAAGGCAAAGCATTACATGGCCAGTACATTAAAAAAAAAAAAAAAACAGGAAAAGCAGATAACAAGACCTGGAAATGATTAAGAGCAGGAAAGTTGAAGAAAGAGACCGAGGAACTAATTCTGGCTGCACAAGACGACGCCTTGAGGACAAATACATAGAAAGCCAGAATTGAGAAGACAGCAACAGACAGTAAGTGCTGCCTATGCAACCAAGCTGAAGAAACAGTGGACCACCTGATAAGCTGCTACAGGAAGATTGGCCAGACTCAGCATGACAAAGTAGCAACAATGATACATTGGAAGATCTGCAAGAAATATTATTTGCCTGTAAGCAAGAAGTGATGGGACCATAAAATAGAGAAAGTCAAAGAAAATGAAGTTAAATTGCTCTAGGACCGTGATGGCGAACCTATGGCACGCATGCCACAGGTGACACATGTAGCCAAATCGGTGGGCATGCGAGCTCAGCTCCGGCGCACATGTGATTTTTGGGGCTTCTGGGCCCACCAGAAGTAGGGAAACAGGCTGTTTCCTGCCTCCAGAGGGCCTCAGGGAGTGGTGGGGAAGGCCTGTTTTTCTCTCTCCCCAGGCTCCAGAGCCTTTCTAGGAGTTTGGGGAGGGTGAAAACGGTCTTCCCCACCTCCCCGGAGGCCCTCCGGAGGTCAGAAACAGCCCGTTTGCCAATTTCCAGTGGGACCAGAAGACCCATTTTTTGCTGTCCCCAGGCTCTGGAGGCTGGGGAGAGAGAAAAACAGGCCTACCGGGCCATCGCGTGCCAGGAGCGGGGAGAGTGGTGGTGGGGTTGTGCGCACGGGGGCGGGGCACATAGAATTATGGGTGTGGGCACGCACCCCCACACTTCCCCCTCTCCTGGCACGTGATGGCAAAAAGGTTAGCCATCACTGCTCTAGGATTTTAGAATTCAGACAGACAAGCACTTTCACCTGACACTCCGGACTTAACAATTGTCGATAAGAAAGACAAAAAAAGTCAAAAAGAGGGCTGTGAAAATATTTACAGACCCCTTGCATCCTGGACATAAACTGTTTCAACTCCTACCCTCAAAGCGACGCTATGGAGCACTGCACACCAGAACAATTAGACACAAGAACAGTTTTTCCCCAAACGCCATTACTGCTAAACAAATAATTCCCTCAACACTGTCAAACTAGTTACTAAGTCTGCATTACTATTAATCTTCTCATTGTTCCTATCACCCATCTCCTCCCACTTATGACTGTACGACTGTAACCTTGTTGCTGGTATCCTTAAGATTTATATTGACTGTTTCCTAATGTGATTTGATTGCTTATTTGTTCCCTATGACTATCATTAAGTGTTGTACCTTATGATTCTTGACAAATGTATCTTTTCTTTTATATACACTGAGAGTGTATGCACCAAGACAAATTCCTTGTGTGTCCAATCACACTTGACCAATAAAGAATTCTATCTAAAGAATTCTATCTAAATACAAAGACCTAGAAATAGAAATAGAATGATGGTGGCAAAGGCAAGCAAAGGTAATACCAATAGTAATAGGCTCTTTGGGTGCAATCCCAAAACAACTGGAGCACCATTTGAACACCACTGGCATTAACAAATTTGCCATCAGTCAATTGCAAAAGGTGGCTTTACTGGGAATAGCTTCCATCCTGCGATGGTATCTGTAACACCCAGATCTATCTACCCTTGGTAAGAACTTGATAGATAGACAAAAATGCCAAATCCAGTCTGAAATGTGGCTGATTGTGCGATGATTACGTTGAAGATTAAATCAATAATAATAATATAATCACCATCAAACAAAATCTGCCTACTATTACTACTAAAACAACAATATTAATAAATAATCACTACCATCAAACAAAATCTGCCTACTTCAGATCCTTTGGAGGGACTTGATAGTTGGATAAAAATTCCAAATCCAGTCTAAACATATGACTGACTCTGCAACCTACCATAATAATGAAAACTTCCCTGCTTTGGAACTGCCTATATAGACAACTATCTTAATCATTCTTAGGCCGTTATTATGACTTGTATTGTCTTAGACTGTGAATCTAGCTATAACAACCATACATTTAACACCATCAAAGAACAACATCTGCCTATCCCAGGTTCTTGGGAAAGATTTGATATGTGGATACAAATGCAAATCCAGTTTAAATATCTGGCTGACTGTGGCCACCTATAATAAATTAACTTTGTCAAAATTTCATCATTGCAAGCAGTGTTTTGATGGCAAACATAGTGATAATATCATCTAGGTCTGGATAGATTTTTGTTGTTATTGCTGCTGTTTAATATTCTTTGAATGGTATGTATTTTTGCATGAATACAGGCGAAGTCTGGAAATTTTAGCCAAAACATAGAATTCTTGAATTTGCTTCCGAAGAGGGGCCCCAAAGCCTTTTCAGCCTTTTGTGAAGCTTTACGAGAAACTAAACAACAGCACTTGGAAGAAATGCTCTTGAACAGTATCCCCTGCCATAGGACTGAGGCTGTAAAGGTAAGGAAAGAGAAAATATAAAATTAAGGAGCACATTTAGCATTAGTGATTCCATATTGCTTTTTCATGCAATACCAGTATGATATTTTCAGTTCCCCTTGATCCTGTGTATTAAACTTCCTTAACTTAGAAAGCGAATGTTTCATAGAGAAGATGTTTGGCTTAGTTTTCATTGTAAATAGTTTTACGAGCATTGGGAGGTTTGGATCTCATTGCATCTTCAGGCAAGCAAATTTTAGAACTGATGTATTTCATTAGGACTGCAAAATGGTATGCACACACTTCTTGCTGTGAAGCTATTTTTCTTATATTTTGAGAAGTATTTACCAGGAATTGTTTTGAAACTAATTATGGTGATTTAAGATTAAAAGTGAGGGAACCGTTTTTCAGCCATTTTTATTTGTATATTGGCTTAATATGAATTTATCATTAGTAGATTTAAGAAATATCATTTTACTCTTTAGATAGTGAAAATAACACAAAGTAGGGATACTTTTGAATTCTTCTGCAACAAATCTATATTACAGCTATTCAGCCTTATCAGGACAGATTTGACAATGAACAGAACTAAAGTTACATGGAAGGTACCAGCAAGTTCAGTAAAGTGCTTGTAATATATTTTTCCAAAACTGGAGTGACTTGTCTAGAATTTAGAGAATTCCATTTGAGATTTTTGAAGAAAATGAATATGAACCCTGCCTTCTCACTTTTCGTTCTGCTAGGACAGGTCAGAGAGTCTAGTAGTACTATTACTAGTTAATATTAATTTAATAATAACAACACCAGCTAAAGAACAGCAACTTTACTGTTCAGATTGTTGAATACAGATAAAAATTGGACACAAGCTGAACTGGACAGTTTGGACTGAAAAACAAGAAAACTGATCATTCGCTATGCATTACATCTCCATAATGACATTGATAGAGTTGCTTCAACAGTGAGATGGGTGGCATATAAATTTAATAAATAAATAAATAGAATATATCTGTTCTGCAGAAATTGAGATTTACTTCGGTGCATATGAAGGCCAACAACAGCTAAAGAATTGGTAGCTGTGACTTCAGGTTTTGAACAGATATAATAATATTTTTTTATTTAAATAAATAAATATTTATTACATTGATATGCTGCCCGATTCCCACTGACTCTGGGTGGTTTGTTTAAACTTTTGAAAAACAAAGAACAATACAAAAACAACATTTTTCTTCATATATGAAATATGTGTTATCTAAATGCATTTGTTAGAAATGTTCTTTGAGAAGATTCTGTAAAAACTAAAAAGATCCAGATTTTTTTTTTTTTTAATTTGATTTATATGCCGCCCTTCTCCGGAGACTCAGGGCGGCTTACAATGTGCTAAGCAATAGCATTCATCCTTTTGTATATTTATACAAAGTCAGCTTATTGCCCCCACAACTGGGTCCTCAATTTACCTACCTTAGAAAGGATGGAAGGCTGAGTCAACCTTGAGCCTGGCGAGATTCGAACCTGCAGTAATTGCAGGCAGCTGGTCTTAATAACAGGGTGCTTTAGACCACTGTACTACCAAGGCTCTTCAGATTAAGAGTATATATTTTATACAAAGGTAAACTTGATCTGAGTCATTACAGAATTATAGGAGGCAATACATAAATATATTTGTGCATGCATCTGGTTGACGGAATATGATGATGTGTAGCAGTCAAATTTGATTCAATAGGGATCTATATTGCATGGTAAGTACTGTGGGCAGAACTGTCAATAGTTTCTGATTATTGCTCATTGTATGACTGTATATTTTGCGAACTGACCGGCTTTAGGGAATAATTTATATCGTTATGCATATGCACACATATTTGCACCATCAAATAGTGGAATTTTTTTCATCTTTTGTCCCCATCTCTCATCTGACGTTTTATTTGATGAACACAGTGACATTTTGTGATATTTTCATAGTACTTTCTGGTCTTTTTCAGCGACCTCATTGCTATGAGCAAAGTTTCCCGTTTTCAGTGCCTGAATCCTGTGTATCCCAGAAAAGACTATATCACAATAATGGTAAATTTATAATATAATCTGCCTTTGTCACAGCACTGACATTATTTCATAGACTTGCAGAATGTACCAAATCTGACATAAGAACAAATATGTAAAAGAAAAAATTGCTATTTTTGTAATATATCTATTTACTAGTTTGGGCCTGTAAATTTAGAAATGTCAAACATTTTTTAAATTAGTATATTAGGAAAAAAGCTCCAAATCTTTTAATAGGAACAAGTCTGAAAAAATTTAGTCTCAGTATTTTTAATGTCAACACTGAGCATGAGTATGTTTCTAAAAGGCCAGTGGCAATAGGATCTAGAGATATCCAGGGAGGTTTTATTATTATTTTCATTCCAGGCCATGAAAAATAGTTCCGTGTCTTAGTCTATTTCCTTGAACAGATCTGGACTTTTGTGTCCTGTGGTCTGTGTACTTAGGTCTTTGTCTGAGTGGTGAGATGTGGGAGTATCTTACACAATTTTTGCTTTATACCATATTCCCCATACTGTAAAGTTCATGTAATAGCACTAGCAGATAAATAAATAAAAACTCATACACCAATGAATGTTAGGTGGTTTTTTTAATACTCTTACTTACTTTTACTATTTGGTTACATAAATTATTTTCTCCTAACTTTATAAGATAGGTATCAAGCATTTTTGAAATCTCATGGTTCCTAACCTGTGCTACAGTTCTATGTAAAAATGTGCTCAGAGATATTGGGGTAGCTTGTAAAATCAAAGAGACATTGACTGTGGACTGGCTCTTTGACAGAAAGAAAAAAACCCCATAATTTAATATTTTAAAGATATCCTAAGTGAAAGAAATGCAATACATATGTTTTGAAATCAAGGATAGGGATCTAGTAAAGTATTATTCAGGCTTAGCCCTTGAAACAGCCTAGCCTAATAACAACTTTTTGAATAAAAAGTTTGTCTGCAATTTCTAAGAGAGGAAAGACATTCTTGTACTTTTTTCTTGTATTAGTTTCATCTGAATAATTGTTAAAATTCGTTTTTCAATGTGTTTCTTTCAAAGATGGCTTATTTTTTTTTATAAAATATATGGTATGAATTATTTTGTAAATTGTTTTTTAAAAAAGAGAAAATACTTTGGAGATTGACATCTTTTCACACTATTGCCCATGCCTTTTCTTTTAATCAGGTCCTGGTTGAGTTATTTTTGGAACTCCCAGACTAGAGTCCTGACTGAAGGATATACAGAAATCAATATCCTGTATAAAATTATAGCTTTTGAAGGAATGATGGAAAAAGAATGAAAAACAATCCAAATTTAATGCTCGGGATTTAGCTGTATCCCACTGAGATTTTAAATTGCAAACTGTTTTACTAGCTAATAATTATATAGATTATTCATTGGATGAGTCTACTATTCATATCCCATAGCTATGACTGTAACCTAGACATATTCACAAAAGTTAATTGGCTGCTGTTAGTCATTTTTTGTTGTTAATGTGTTGTGATATAAACATAGATTTATATACTGCAGAAAATGGAAGATATGAAGCTATTTAAAGAATGTTAAAAGTTATACATGTGTTTAGAATACATGAGTTAGAGTTGTTTAATGCTGTAGACCATAGTAAATCAAGGTAGAAAACACTGGGTCCTCATGCTGAATCCAACTACAGATCTCCTTTTCCCCCAAATCCTGATCCTTGTTGCCAGATACTTCTGTCTGATTTGCTTGCATCTTGTCCTCAAGGAGGCGAAAGATGGTGTTGGTGAAATACCAGTTTGTCCTAAGGTTGTGCAGCAACTTTATTAATGTCTCCCAATGAGAAGACCTCTCCCTTCCTGATATTCTAACATATAATATTTTAAAATATTACATACTCTGCACAAATTTTGTTGAAGTTTCACATTTTCAATTTGTACTTCATCCATGGTAACCTTACTCTCTTGATACTCAAAATAGTTCAATTAGTTCAAACGGCTATTGTTATTTAAAGAAAAAGTTCAATTGAGAGATAATTTTTGATGGAACTCTGACAGAGTGTGAGATGGTTAAATTTGAAGCACTTGGATTTCAGTATTTCAATAAGAAAAAGAAACATTACAGTACAGTACAAGTAATCCTTGATTTATGACCACAATTGAGCCCCAAATTTCTGTTGCTAAGCAAGTCGGTTGTTAACTGAGTTTTTGCCCCATTTTATAGTTTTGCCATAGTTATTAAGTGAATCATTTGGTGATTCACCAAATGTTGAGCCTGGATAGCTCAACAGACAGAACACTGTAATTTAACACCAGCTGCCTGCAATTACTGCAAGTTCAAATCTCGCCAGGCTCAAGGTTGACTCAGCCTTCCATCCTTTCTAAGGTAGGTAAATTGAGGACCCAGTTTATGGGGGCAATAAACTGACTTTGTATAAATATACAAAAGTATGAAGGCTATTGCTTAAAGCACTGTAAGCCACCCTGAGTCTCCGGAGAAGGGCGGCATATAAATCAAATTAAAAAAAAACAACAACAAACAAATCTGGCTTCCCCTATTGACTGCTTGTTGGAAGCTGGCAAGGAAGTTTACAACCAGTGATCACATGATCCCATGACAGTGCAACAGTCATACATGCCATTTGTGAATTTTTTGACATAACTATGGGGGTGCGGCAACAGTTGTAAGTGTGAAATTTGGTCACTTTTTTCAATGATGCTTTAACTTTGAACAGTTACTAAATAAGTGGTTGAAAGTTGAGGACTACTTGTAGAATACTTTTTAATACATTCAATAGAGGTAAAATGCTTAGATTATATATACTGTATAATTTTTTTCTTAAATATTCTCACCTTACTGTAAATCTACAGCATGCTGTTACACAGTGGCTTGCTTTGCTCTTGACCCCTTTGCATATTGGTGTTTGGTTTGCAGCAGTGCCTATGGAGCATTCTTTAGATGATGGAGATGGCCCTCACTATTCTCAGGTGAAACCATGCACTCTAGAATTTTATCGCACGCATGCACACTTGGTAAGTAAACTGGAAAGTGGACTGATAATTTCTTTTGCTGTTTTTCATAAATATGTCTGGAGTTTTTTCTTTGTAGGAAAGCAGTTAAATGGGTTATGTGGAAAACTTGAGTATCCCCATAATTGAAAATTCAGAGTAAAAATGGAGGGGAGGTAGGATTAATCAGTGTGGGTTGATAGGGTGTTCTACTCGAGCCAGGGGTAGAAGAACTCCAAGGTCCCTTCCAACTCTGTTAATTCTGTATTTGATGAATTAAGGAGAGTGTTTCTCAAACTGTTCCACAGATTGCCATTGTTCACAAACAACTCAAGTTCTGCAAGCTGAAAAAATCGCTAGAAGACTTGGAAGGCTTTTTCATAGATAATGAGCTTTTGAATAAAAGCATTGGGGGTTCTCCTACATTTTCCTTCAACATAATTTTGCAAAAGTAAATTATCAGCAGTTGCTTTTTAACTAAGATCAAATATAAAAATAAACAATGTTATACTGATCCTGTTTAACAAATCTTACTCCAGACCTAAATGAGTACACAATCATATCCAAACTCCTATTTCCCCTTAAGGTTAATAAAACATTGACTATTTATTTCCATGTATTGAAACATACAGGTATTCATTTAAAAAAAATAGTTTTGTACGGTCTGGAAATATGAACTAATACTGTCTAAGTGTTTTAATTTTGTATTTTGACTTGTCTTTGACCTCTGGTAGAGAGAGTGGTATATTTTCAAATATACATATATTTGATATATATGTTTTCTGAGGTTTTCGTGGGTGTTTGTATGGGGTCTTTGGTTATTTGGGTTTTCTCCCGCATAAAATTGGAAGTGTCTTGGCGACGTTTCGATGTTTCGACGTCGCTATATATATATATATATATATAAATTTGTGTTTAATAGGCGTACAAGTTGAAATCACGCCCACGAGGCCTGGCTCTTATCCTTAGCAATGTGAATTTCAGCAATGAGACAGATCTAGAGTTGCGTTCTGGAGGAAAAGTGGACAATGCTGCTCTAGATATACTCTTCAAGCATCTTGGATACCAGGTGGTTGTAAAACATGATCAGACTGCACAGGTAAGTTGAAAAATGTGACAATTGTGACAAATGTTTGCATAAGTTTTACGCAATTTATTTTCCAGAATTGGCTGTTTTTAAAATGGCATCTAGATTATATTAGAGTGAACATATCTTCTTAGAATTCCTTTTTTTATTTTAAAATTTTAATTATCTATAATATTGTTTTTGACTTTCATTTCTTAATTGTTTCATTATCACAACTTTTTTCTTTATTTCCATTTAAATATATATTTGAATCATTAACAAAGATTTTCAGATTTAAATTTAAAAAATTGAAATTTGCTTGAAGCTTTTTGATTAAAAATGATATAGCATCATGAGTACTTTTAGAAACTACGCTCATACATTTTCAATTTTAATCATTCCTGAATCCTTTATCTCCTAGTTATCATGCTGCTTGGTGGTTATTTGCTCTAATTTCCAAATTCGTTTGCCTATATGATTCAAGAGATTGCTGATTAGGGATAATTTTTTGTCCTCAGGAAATGAAAGAACAGTTGGAAATTTTTTCCAAGCATCCAGTTCATCAAAACGTAGACTCCTGCATAGTATCACTTCTTTCGCATGGCATAGAGGGTGGAGTCTACGGAGTGGATGGGAAGCTACTTCAGGTAACTCAATCATATGCAGATTCCTTCTTTGTTTCGGAATGTGATCATGCAGGGAATATGAGGATCAGACTGGCGATCATGGAAACAATCAAGCCTTAAACAGCTCTAACATATTATGAGATTCTGCCTTAAAGTAGAATGGAAGATATTTTGGTGAAGGGGAGACAAATGGAGGGGGAAAAACTGGGCAGAGTAGATACTATGCTTGCATTGTAATAATTAAAAAAGATGGCAGCCTTTATATTCTTTGAATCACTATACAGTAAAGTATTAAAGTAATAAAATAAAAAATGTAAAATGATAAGAATCAATTTAACAATTTCCTTTTAAAACACTCAGTCACCTTTTCTTCTTGTTCCTTTTCCAGCTGCAGGAAATTTTCAGTCTTTTTGACAATGCGAATTGTCCTAGTCTTCAGAATAAGCCTAAAATGTTCTTCATCCAGGCATGTCGGGGAGGTAAGTGACTGGGGAGGTGACCTGTGATTCACACAGACAAACATTCCCCTTTTTGCACGCTTGTGCTCACCTCTCCTCTTTACTTCTCTCAGGTATAAGCGGAACCCATTTCACCTCCCTGCCTTGCTGTTGCCACTACCTCTCTCTGTAAGTGGTTCTCGCTGTGCATGGCTTTGGTCAGCAACTTGCAGACCTTGCAATAACATGGAAAAAGAAGAAGGAGATTCGTAATCTCCACTTCTTGCATGTATATGAGGGACACTTAGCCCTACTAACTGCACTCCAGTGAGATTGTGTGCTGGAACTTTTGTTCTTTCTCTCTTTGGCCTGGACTCTGGTGTTTCCTACCTGTGCTGAACTTTGATAGATTGAATAAATAATAGTCTGAGATCACCTTGTATGAAACATTATGAATAGCTTGAAAACGTTTGCTAGTTTGCGTTTTTGTTTGATTCAGATGCGTGGGGAAGCAGCTGAATTTAAAATACAGTTAAGATCCAGAGACATCCTAAAACATGTCTCTTCTAATCAAAGTTCCTGGAATCTAAAACAAATTATAGGAATGTAAGAAAAAAATGGATATAGAATGTAAGTCTGATCTTAGCCAGATTATATCATAATCAAAGGATTATAACCGATGTAAGGACTGGAGATGATTCAGCAGATATTTCAGCTGATTAGAGTTTGTAGGAAATGTTTCAGTTCCTAAACACAAACATATCACCATAATCTTAAAGGATTACCAGGATTTTAAGTAAAAGCATCCAAAGTGAAAAATAAAATCAACATGAATAATATGGATCAATAAGCCAACAGGCATCATAATTCCAAATTATTCTCTAAATGCTGTCTTATAAAAGGCTTTAATTTATCCAATTTAGGGAAAGATAAAAGCTGGTGCACCTAATTTCTGGAAAGAGGCTGTTCTATAAAATTGCCGTGAAATAGATTTTCTGGACTTCAACACGCTCATCTCACAACTGTAGGGAACCATCACTTTTTCCTAGAAAGCCTGTATTGGCAGGATGATTCTGGTGAAAGGATCTGGATGTATATTTTAAAATTAGGACCCCTATCTCTAATTGTGGCTAGAGTTATCTTGGAAAGGGAGAATGTTTTAATAAATATAGACGTCTAAATTCTCTTCTGTGATTCAGATTTAGAAATTGTTAGTGGTGTCAGCAGTATACTTGGCTTCATGGAGCAATTGAACAAGGCTGACGAGATGAAGTTAACTTTATCTAGGCAGCCTTATTCAATTTCTCCATGAAGCCAAGTAACAGAGAGCATTGACTCCATCTTACATAAGTACATATCTAAAACTTTATTTTTCCCCCTTTATACCTACAGCAACATTATAGCTCCCATTGCTACTTATGAAAGCTGAGATTCTAGAGAACTGGGTTCAGCAATATCTTGAGGGTCGCAGTTTCTCTCCTTTGCATTAAATATTATTTCCATCTGATGAACCTTCAGACAGCATGCCTGCAGTACAGATGAACTCTGTGAAGTAACTTAGAAACCAGCGCCTAGAAAACCTGTTTATGTAGTTCCCCAGAGGCTTGTCTTAAACGTTTGCCTTTTATAGAGAATATATTTTAAGCTTGAAAAAGGTTTTATAGGGAATAAAGGTTGAAAAACTGATTGGACATTTTTAATAGGGCACTTAAATGGTCCTTAAATTTAAATTTATTTTTTTTAGCCAAGTTTCAGATCTTAGGAGAATACCGCTGCTGCTCTCTGATGTGCAAAACCAAAATAGAGCTAGTGTTCTGTTACTGTGCCAGGGCTACAGACACCTTGTTTAAGGTAATATATGCTTTTGAGGTATGTGTAAAGAAAACTTTGGTATTACAATAACACTTCTTGATAGAATTAACCTGTTAAACTTAAGCAAGTTTATTTAAGGCACACACAGTTTCATAATATCTATCTGTTGCATAAACATTTGAACTAATTTGTAACATAATTATTATACTCCCTTTTGTGTTGAAATTCAAGTGCTACAGATCATAACTGAGTGGAATTTACTGCTAAAACCAGGGATATTTCATCAGGGAAAGCAGGAATCCAGTGTATGCCTTGCACAGAACAACTGTGAACTAGATGCAAATCCCCTGGGCTATGCACTAGTTTGTAGTTAAATAAATTGTATTATTTATTATTGTATTATTTTACAATATTTTTGGACCCCTGCATTACCGCACAACCCCTAGAGGTTGCAGTATCTCTATTAAAAATAATAAAGCCAGTACATAAAATGACTGTGAATACCAAATTCTCTGTGGTGTCTGTTAATAGCAATAAGCTGTGAATTAAAAGCCATATGAAACCATTCAGTCTTCTGATAATTCCAAACAGCATACTATAGTTTGTGGATAAAATATGTTATTAAAGAGAATCCTGCAGTTATTTATAGCAGCTTTATGCATTATCTTGCTTTCAAATACAGATCTAAATGCGTTGATGTCAGGATTCATGTTAGCAATCTTATGGGGAATATTTTCTGAAATCTCTCTAGAAGTATTTAGGAAATGGCTAAGGATAGAAGGAAAAAAAGGACCTCATATCTTTACATTGGAAAATCAAGCACTCTGACTACTGATTACTTTAAACATTTTAAAATTATTTATTTGGTATAATATAAAAATTGAAGAAGTGGAGGCTTATAAAATACGTTGTTCAAAAATGCCTCTGGATTATCCTGAAGATAATTTTGGAGTGTAGTAAAGCAAGTAGAATTTACATCTTTGACCTAATATTAATTTAATTTGTTAATTTGCACTGTCCAATTTAAAGTGGACTATTTTAGTCTGGTATCCCTTTTTACATCCACCTATGTTATGTTTTTCAGTGAATAATAAACTGGATCAAGAAATTTGGCTAGGACAACATGAGTAAATAAACTCAGGGTTAATCTTTTAACTTAGTTGCAAATAATGTACAGAAAGATAGCCCAAGCCAAACCCTAAACCATTTAATGGCTTGAACTTGTAACAAAAGTCAGGAAAGTAGACTCGCATGGTGTGCTAAGCCATAAACCATGACTCAGAAGCCACAGTAATTACGGTAGATGAACATCTTGTGCTAAACTAGAATTTCCCAAATGACTTTATGCTATAGCATGATTTGTGAACATAGCCTCAGTTTCTTCGGTTAGGGTAAAGGTTGAAATGGAAGGCCTTAGAAGAGACATTCGGGATCTATGTTCCTTTCTCTCTGACACTCATTGTGGAAATTTTTTTTACTTAAACAGTTTATTTGCCCGTGTACCAAAGGGCGGAAAGATCAAGAATTTTTTATGACCTAGCTTGTACATTCTAGTTTCACATGTGAATTCATCTCCAAGAAATTAAATGTTTGACTTAAAAGCTGTGTTAGCTGGGCTGTTTAGCTTTATGTTACTAAAACTATAAAATAAAGAACGACTTTATGTCATTATGCAAACCTGACACTTGATGCTTATTTTGATTACCATATTGTTACATGCAATATGTAACAATATATAAATGCATGGAGGCTTCTTGTTTGTCCTACTTTGATCCAATCTTCCATAGCACACTGCTGCTGCTTCAATATTGCAGCTCCCACTGTGAGGCGTTCATCTGTCCACTAGCTGCTGTTTCCTTCCCAGTAGGTGTGGACTGGCTCCTGCTGTTTAGTAACCTTGCAGCTGGAATGGAGTGGTTATGTCTATTCTACAGTCTTGCTGCCAGTAAATACTGAATGCTTGGATTTATTTCATTTTAAAGGGGAAGTGAAAAGAAGGAAGGTTAATTTAGTTAGGAGTAGCAAGGGTCAGCAACAGCTTCTTGCTTTCTCTAGGAGCATCTTATGATTTCACCATTATTATGAACTGATTTCAAACTGATTATATTAAATATAAATAGCAGTAGGGTAAGTATACAATTTAATAATAGTGTGCATAAAGTAATTTCAAAACACTTGGCACTGTGAGCCCAGCCGTATATATAGCCTTATTAATACTTAGCATGCAACAAGAATAATATGGAAGTACCATATTTTTCGGACTATAAGATGCTCCGGACTATAAGTTGCACCTACCTTTTGGGGAGGAAAACAAGGGGAAAAAAAATCTGTCTCTGCCTCCCAGCATCCATCCGGTATTCATCTGGCCTGTTTGCCGTTACCTGTTTGCTGCAGTCGCGGCCTGTTCAGCATCGCCCGTTCACTGCCGTCTGTTTGGCGGCGCCCATTCAGCACGGCCCATTTGCCATGGCCCGTTTGCCACCACCTGTTTGGCGCGGCTGGTTTGCTGTGGCCTGTTTGCTCCTGCTGCAACATGTTCGCCGCCACCGCTCATTTGCCGTGGCCTGTTTGCCACTGCCGTGGCCTGTTCTAGAACAGCTGATTGGTGCCGCACCAACCCCCCTCCCCCCGCTGCAATATTCGGAGTATAAGACGCACAGACATTTCCTCCCACTTTTTTGGGGGGATGTGCGTTTTATATTCCAAAAAATATGGTAAGTAATGATAAAACTAGCTTTGAAAATAACCTAATAACCATTTTTTTGGGGTGGGGGGGGAGTTATACTATTAGTAAAACTAACACGTTTCTGGACTGAATAGAAAAGGAAAGATTTTTGCAACAGAATTAGCTGAATTTGGATTTGCTGAAAGAATAATTAAAAGAAAGGAAATATAAAGGTATACAGAGTATAAGCTTTCTCTCCATCTGAAGCTCTTGAAAATATGGTTACTTGGTTTAAGAAACCACTTGTGTGGAGCAGAGAATATGAGAAAGACTTAATATTTGAAACCTGATGAAAGCTGTGGTTATAAATCAGTTATTCCCCCTCCTCATTTTTCTTACTTTGATATATTTTCCATAAACAGAAAAAGAATTTTTTTAAAATCCTCCTTTTTTGGAGTCCTCGAAAGCCTACATTTTCCAGGAATGCCTATGGTGTCTTCAAATTGTACCATAAATTAATAATTATTGGTATTTAAAACTATTAAAATAATATTTAAAATAAAGGCTTAAGCTGACAGGTTGTTAGATGAGTATTAAGGGAGATAATGGCATTTATGATGATGCATATAGATATTTAGTTACATATACTCTTGAAAACAGGTGATTGAAGTGCTCTGGCCTGTTTTTAAGATTTCTGCATACATACTTAAAACTGAATTCCCAGCTTGCATGGTGCAATAATATGAGCAATATTGAAAAATTTTATTTTTAATTCCAGTTGTATTCTTAGCTTGTTTGTAAAAAGCCTGCATGTAAGACTTCATTCATGTGTACATTCTTCATCCAATGCCATATTGATCGGAAAATTTTCCCTTCATGTATTCTTTTTAAAAAAAAAAAGTATAGAGAGTTTCCCACAGCTGAAAATTCCTAAGATTGTCTTGGAAATAGCAACCACAAAGAGTCTATTAGAAACACTGGTGACCTTTCTTTAACTGTTGGAAATTGGATACAATGAGTATGGACGGAGGTTGGCAGCAGTTTATTGGTAATTTTAAGGTAGCCTGTAGGCTCCTCTACATGTAGTTTATGCAGTGTTAGGAATCTATATGACGCCTTCAGAATTCCCTGTTATTACAACCTGATCTATGATGGCTGGTTCTGACAATACAATAGAATGTTTAAGTCTAGCATAAAGTGAAAGTGTTAAAAATTACAGAACTAGCTGCAAAATGAATAGCTTATAGTTTTAAGATAACTGGTGTGTATAAGATGAACAAACAATAGCTAGAAGTTTGAGAAATAATAGCATAACAGTTAATAATGACTGAATTCCAGTCAGTAAGATTTCATGTTCTTACAGATGAAAATAATGCTCAATTAATATTAAGACAATTATAGTTTGTATAGTAAGATGATACTGAAAAAGTTTACAGCATTAGAGACTGCAAAACTAAATATAAAAAGTTGAAGTAAAATACAGATGTAGCATTAATCAGTTCTTGCCATATCTTTCTTACTGCTGGTAACATCATAGGTTATGGTGGAGATACTCAGAAAGTAATCAAGAAATATAAAATTGATCTGTATGGCTTGGCAATTTAGAGAATAAAGAATATAAATACTGCCAACACCGTTGAATGAGCAGTAGAGAAGGTTATGCTTGATAGTTTCAACTTGTCCGTCATCACAAGGGCACAGTTGTTCTGGAAAAGATATCTTCCCTTGAGTTCAGTTGAAAGGAAGGTATTGTACTGAGCCAAAATAAAAGCCCTTCTATGAGAAAAAAATTATAGATAAGTACTGGCTTTTACTATGCCCTTTAGACTTCCATGATTTTTTAAAAAAATTATGCATTTAAAACAGATTGGTACCCAATATCCATTGTATACTGCCTATTAGTGGTTTTGACTTGCTCATAGCCTAAGGCAAGGATCCCCAACCCCTGGGCTATGACCCATTACCAAGCCATGGCCTGTTTGGGACTGGGCTGCACAAGCAACTGGCTAGTGTACATGTGCATTGACTTGCATAAGTGGCAGGTTGACGTATGTGCAGGTGTACCAGCCCGCTGCTTGCGTGGGCCAGTTCTCCCCCCACTGGGCCACCAAGGTTGGGGATCACTGGCCTAGGGAGAATAAATGGTAGAGAAGAAGAAATTAATGTTGGTTTCTTCAGTAAAATTGCTTTAGATTAAGGTTCATCTCCCAGCATTAAACTGGACAAGGTTCACAAGTGCAGTGTTGGAAAATGAACTCAACTGATCACCACAAATGTGAGATCCTTGGTGCTGTCTGAACTTGGTTGTTTTGTGACAGATGTTTCATTACCAAACTAGATAACATCAATGCTACAAGAGAGTGGAGTTCACTTTCATTGTATATACTTGTGGCTTGCCCTATCAGTATTGTGAGAGTCCCTTGATCAGGCATTGTGTTTACTGTTAACTTATTTGTCTGCATTAGTAGTTCCTTAATTGGTGTACTGACTGGGGTACCAGCACTGACAAACAAGCTAACAGTAAACAACAGCCTAATTGGGGAACCACCAGGATCATTCCCACCAAAACTGACAGGGCAAGCCACTAGTATGTAAAATGAGAGCAAATCCCACTGTCTTCTAGCACTGATGATGTTACCTAGTTTGGTAATGAAATGTCTGCAAGAATTCCATCAGGCTCATAGAGCATCAAGGACCTCATAGTTCCAACTCTGAGTTACAAATATTCTCTTCTATTGATCTCTATAAATTGTACCAACTTCAGCTAGTTGGAGATACAATACTCTTCTTTGCTTAAAAATAATAAATTCCCAGTGGAACAAAATGTTGCTCATTTTGGGCAAAATAGCTTCCATGAGCATTCTGGGTGCCTGAATTTGGGAGGCTATGCCCAGATATTTAAAATATGAGACCTGCTCAATGTTAGTCCTGTTCATATACCAGGTTTCTTGGCAAAATGTTTGGTTTGAGGGTTTTAGTTGTATTGAGCTAGGGTTACCAAGACACAGCTAAGTCCCATTGGGGTTCTAGAAAGGATTCTTACATCATCTGGGTAGAGCAAAAAAGAGCTATGCAGGAGGAATGGGATAAGTATATTTAATACCCTTGTGAGTTAGAATGTCACTTGATAAATGACCTTAAGGGTTGCATCTGACTTTCAGGGATCTGCTATTGTGAAGAGCATGACTAAGAAACAAGAAGTATTAATTAACTAGAGAGGCTTTTGGTTTTTCCCAGAGTTTAACTCAAATCATAGAGTCAAGCGTGGACTTAAGTCATGAGAAAATTCATAGAGCAAACCCTATAGTATGTAGAGTACCTCTTGATTAGATGTTGCAAGCACTGATCAGTCATGGATTGACCTCTCCCTAAGGCCAGCCTGTCTCTCCAATAGGTGGCTTCCCTTTTCTAGCCAATCTCTTAACTTCCAACAAAAGCTTCTGACAGAAAATATCCTAAGTAAACTAAAGGACTGCAATTTACCAGTCATATCTCTTCCTTACTTTTACTTTTTTGCATATACTTTTAATCTTATCTACATCGTATTTCTGTGCTTGTGAATGCTATATAAGGTTAATTAATAAAAGGACTGTTTTAAGAAAAGTTGATTTATATCACACACAGCAATAGCACTTAGACTTATATACTGCTCCATAGTGCTTTACAGCACTCTAGGAGGTTTACAATGTCAGCATACTGCCCCCCAAAATCTGGGTCCTCAGTTTACTGACCTTGGAAGGATGGAAGGATGAGTCAATCTTGAACCCCGTCAGGATCAAACTCCAGGCTGCAGGCAGAGTTTGCCTGCAATATTGCATTCTAACCATTGCAACACCAGGACTACTAGTGAATACATATATGAAACTCTGTATCTAAGAGTTGCAACCACTAATTGAGGATTAAATGAGTATGCATGTCATTTAACAAAGATATAATAGAGCTGCATGGGGTTGATCTTCTGATCTTTTTTCTCTTAGATGAAACAGACCGTGGAGTGGATCAGATAGATGGGAATGACCGGGCCAATTCTCCTGGTTGTGAAGAGAGTGATGCCAACAAGAAGGAAAATCCTAAATTACGCCTCCCCACCTGCTCTGATATGATCTGTGGATATGCCTGCCTGAAAGGTATTTTGGATAATACAAGTGCTGTCGTATTATCACACTATTTCTCCTGTTATGCAGCTAAGGTATTTCTATTTCTTTCTCCTTTCATTGGGTATGTTTTTTTTTATAGGTACAGCTGCTATGAGAAATACCAAACGTGGATCATGGTATATAGAAGCTCTCACTTCTGTGTTTGCTGAGGATGCCAGAAACATGCATGTGGCTGACATGCTAGTCAAGGTGGGCAGGGATACTGTGCTTCGTTTCTTTTTATGTTCTGTCTAAATTTAAAGTAGTTGTTTGCATTAAGGATATGTAGGGGGAAAAAACCAACTAGTCTCTTAATAGTCCATGCTGGAATCAAAACACTTGAGTTCCAGATAGCAATATGAGGAGGAGGATGGCAGGTAGGGAAGGAAGGAAGGAAGGCACTGAGAAGAGAGTATGGAATGGGAAAGGCTGGTTGGATAATCACTACCACTGCCAGTGTCCATAGCTTTAAAGGTATCATATCCAACTAGTTTGCCTTTCTGCCTACTTACCTTCTCAGAGTTTTTTCCCCTTATCTCCTCTTATACTGCTCTTAAAGTCAAGGACATCAGCCATGGTAACTAAGGAAGGTATAAAAAGGAAAGTCCTGGGAAGATAGAGTGAGCATGTTGCTTGAGTGGCTCCCTCCCCCAATCTAGCTATAATTGTTGCTGATGTCCTTGACTTCAAGAGCAAGATAAGAGACATAGCAAAAGAGGGTGCTGGAGAGATAAGTCTGTCAAAGCACAGACCGTGCAGAGGAGAAGGTGCACAATACTTAGTGTATTCCCCACTGGATTTTATCTCAGCCAAAACCTAAAACAATCAAGCTGTTCTTTGGCCCAGTTTTGCCAAACTGCAGCTCACCCAAAATGGCCCAGCAGAACTTCGAAGACACAATATAATGGGTGTGAAACAAAGTACATTTTCTTTTTTTGTAGCTATCTACGTTTTTAGATAATCTTTTGTTACTTTCTGTCTTGCAGGTGAACAGATTGATCAAACACCGTGAAGGCCATGCCCCTGGCACAGAGTTTCATCGTTGTAAGGAGATGTCAGAGTACTGTAGCACTCTCTGCCAAGACCTTTACCTATTTCCAGGGATAGTTGCTGAGAATTAATTCTATTGTTCTTTTGGCAATGAAATCCTTTTCCTGTTCCTCTTCAGCATTCATGAAATACCTATACAGTTGTGTGTATATGTTTATGATCCACAGTACCTTCCTTCATGGCTGTAAGATGAATTAAAACTTTGTATGACAGTGAAAATTTGACTGATGAGCAATGGCATATGCTATTTGCTTTTTGTTTTTTTAAAAAAACCTGAGATATCCTAAGCTATAACCTGTAAGTAAATAATGCCTGGCCATGCCAAATTTCTTACACTGTGTGCAGAGTTTGCTAAAATTACTCTTTAGAGTAAGATTTGGCCATTGTTCCGGGGTTTTTCTCCCCATGTGCTAAAAACAGATTGATGGGGAGCACTTTAATGATTTTATGTGAGTGTGGAAAATGTGAGTTTGAAATTTCATGTAATTATTTTTATAAAGGAAAAGAGATAAAACATTTTTTAAAAAGTTACATGTTGAATTCTTTTTTAATTTGAATTGATGTTTGGTTGCCCACAGCAGTAGCCTTGAAAAGGAACCTTAACTCCAAAAATGGAGGCTTTGCAGACTATGAAGGCCAAGTTAGAATGGCAGGCCAATACTAATGTTGCTTTATGCGTATAGATATTCAAGCAGTCACTAGTTTTTGTTACAAAAATTTTAATATATGCTTGCTGGTTGCAATATTTCCTTCAGTGAAATTTGATCATTCTTGTAGAAAATTGAGAGCAGGACTTGGAAATAATCACAGTGGTTTTTCATTCTCCAAGATACTTCTGGTTACATAAAACTGTATGTTTCTAAGATGTAATAGCTTTAGCTTATGATTCCAAGTGTTTATAATATTTCTATTGTGCATAATACTATCTGTTTATCTAATACTGATTTGAAGTTATACTGAAGACTTCACTAGACAACATAAGTACTGTATGCTGCCATGGATTAACCTACCTTTATCCTGTTTTGATTGCCTGTTCTTTTAATGTAGAACAGGAAATATTTTGCTCTTTTGCTTGTAAGGATTCCTGGACAGGCACAGGATAGAAAGTAGAGAGGAAGACTTTAAACTCATCATTTTTCAGAATCTAGTTCTACTACTGTAAATGGCCCCTTGGGTGGGACCTATCATGTCTTTGACTTTCCAGTGGTCTTTGGAAATAAAGGACAACAAGACGCATATCAAGTTTTCTTGATATGTGTGAATATACTCATATTGTATACTGTATTGTTATGTTAGTAACATAACAATACAGGCACTCAGTAGCTCCAGTAATTAGATTGGTAGCCCCTGGATTTGCTGCAGTGCTTGAGAAATAGCTCTCTTTCCTCTATTTAAATTGAGATTTTTGAAAATACATTTGGAATATTTTGTGCTCTTTTAAAGAAAAACTTATTTTTGTATTTTTTTAAAAAAAGCGTTTCTGCAACCAAAGTGACAAGTTTTTAAAATCACTGCCTATATATTGTATATAAATTGCTTTGATATATGCCAAAATAAAAAGTAATCTCATTTTCCTACTTCTGTGCCTCTTTTTCCCCTCTTTTGGTTGTGAGAATTACATCTAGACTTTTCCTGCAAACCTGTAACACCATATTCTTGAAGCTACTGTTAAACAATGATAGGATAAAAAAAGGTTAATGCTGCAATTTAAAAAAAAGAAAAGGTTAATGCTGTAATTTTTAAAAAAAGATCAGCATTGAGAATTTAAGTTCTGCACATTTAATATGTTTAGAAGTATTCCTGATAGGTATCCTTGAAATTAAATCAGAAAGCATTCTCCTAGCCATATTCTTACCTTAAAGCAGGAGACAAGCATGGAGCTTTTGGGCTGGACAGCTCTGATTGGAAAGCTATGAATAAGAAAGAGTTTAAGATCCAATGCAGTATCTTTTTTTGTCTTTCAACTGTCCAGGTTCATTGAAACAAGAAGAACACATTAACCAACTGAACCAGTGATGCTATTTTTATCTTTACTGCAATTAGCAAAAATGGCATCTTTCCTGCTGTTTTTATTTACCATGTTTGTTTTCTGTGCAAAGGATAGACTACATGGGTTGCACTGTAATATTGTCCCTGAAGATTATGTTATATATTTTTGCTTCCTTTTAAAGTCAGTTTATTAGATATAAAATTATCCTTGGTGTTGGGTTTTTGCTGACAGGTTTAGAAAAGCAAAAATCTACTTCAGAACTATCTGAACTTTCTTTAATTATATTGTGCAAAAGCAGGAAGGATGCACTATGCAAACCAATAACTAGTGAGATGTATTGATGCTTTTGTGGCTTTGATTCCTAATCTCACAAGCTATGTATGTAGCCAATAGGGCTCAAAAGGTTGACTACCCATTCTGGCATGATTTATATAATTTAGCAGAAATCTGAGAAACTGGGACTTTTCTACTGACTGTAAACATGGTAATCTCAGGAGAAATAGGTAGAATTGATTTCATGGAGTGAAATTACGGGTGTTCTTATTAAGTTTACCATAGAATTATGTTTTGCTGATTTCATTGGTGCCTGTTTGTCCACAAGGACTGCAACTATAATCTTCTTTCACAATCTGTGAAGCTTGTGGGATTGGACTTCAGCCTCCTGGGAGAATTAAGGGTTGAGTGGGCATTCAAAATGCCCTAAACATGGTGGATAATGATCCTGCACTTCTATGAGGGAAAAGTTGGCAGTGCCACCACAATATCCCTGTAAATATAGTAATTATGGTAATTCATTCTCTTCATTGTTCTGTTTGTCTCTACGGGTCAAAGAACTGACATCCTCTTATTCTCCTCCCCCCAAACCCCAGATTGTTTTCCCTTCTTTTTCCAAAATCAATGTCCATGGACATAAACAAACTTGCTGTAGCCAGGAGAAAGAAATCTTACCACCTTTTAATTTACTGGGCTGACTGAATGCCAGGGTAGCAGTTAAAAGTTATTGAGCAAAGCCATGACGCCTGTGTCACAGCATAAACAAGTGGGGGTCTCTGGTTACATAACCCCCTCCCCCCCAACCCACATACATAGAGCAGCCTTCAGCCAGAGCACTCAGACAGACATCTATTTTTTCTCATTCCATGAACCTGCTACAGGGAGGCTAAAGGGAAGGCATCTCCCCCACAATGCCCAATTTCCTTATTTGGAAATCTTGGATATGACTGGGAATACCCCTCTACAAAGGACACTATGGTATCAGCAATCACTGGTGAGTACAGTGGTATTCCTTTACTGTCTCTTGTCTGCCTCAGGCTGTAGCTGGAGACCTTTAAGTTAACGGAAGGCCGTTCGCTTGCAAGAGCAGGACTTAAAATCCATTGCATGGACCTTCCATGTATTCAAGCATCATGACAAATCAATGTAGATGGCAAATGTTATCATTCCTACTTTCTAAATAAAGTGCTTTTGATATTTTGAAGAGGAAAAAATGACTACTGTACACTGCACACAATTCCAATATTTCAGAAATTGACTTTGAAGGCAACTTCCGGCTTGGTTTTGGTTTTTGAAAATTATGGTTACTGTTGATAAAATCAGAATTGATGGGTTTTAGCTTCCTGGCTGAGGCAAAAAAAAAAACAGAAGCTCTAGGCTCCCCATCGACCATCTACTCCCAGCAAAAGAAAACTTAGTGCTTGAATAGAAGACTTGATTCATTGCTCTTGATAATGAAATCTGCCTTGATAATTGCTCTTGTCTTTTGTTTTGATATTTCATTGATCAGTATTGACATCTGTAGTGTATACAACCCTTGTTTACATGCATTTGTTCCTTTGCTGCAGAGCAAAGAAATGTTCTAGCTTTTCAGTTTTCGACTTTTTTAAACAGCTGTGTTAGCTAAAAATGTTCGGAGCTATGCTGTCACTGTTGTTTTGAAGTAATCATCAGTTTAAGCTCCTAACTAGCTAATGTTATTCAGAACTATTTGGCTTATTTCTCAGCAACCACATTCATTTTAGAAAAGTCCTGATCAGTAAACAGAGTACAAGAAAGAAGATGGAATTTTAGCCAAGACTTAACTACTCTGACTGGCAGTGATCTTGCCAGAGTTTTTTTTTTCTAGTCTAGTCTTGGATTTTAATCTAGCCATTTTATCAGTTGTTTTGAGAGGATATCGGTGAGAGATTAATCTAATCACACATTCCCACTGCAGAAACATTAAAATAATAGAATTGTGTGGGATATAGTCACAGCCTCAGTGGCTTCAGTGTTGCGGTGAGCACATTGTGTATCATCCAGCCATCCCCAAACAATGTATGTTCAAATACTGCTAGAGAAGTGTAGATTTAAACACCAAACAATAACCTGTAATATTACATGTGTCTGGTTAGGTTTAGGAATAGAATAAGTTGACAAAGATGTTGGAATTCTTTCTTTTTGTGGCTTTGAAATCTTTGAAGAGATATTCCCCCTCAATTATTAGTAAAATATATTCATTTCATGGAGCAAGACATTGGACTAAATAGATCATAGGGCTCTTGTATCATAACTATGCTAAGTAAGAATTGTGTCAGTCCATGGCACATATCTCACCTGGACATTTCATGGCCTCCGAGCCATATCTGGCTCTTTGGTTGTTCCTGGCAGGCTGAACTGATTAAATTTTGGTTGAGTGTCTTCTACTTCAGAGAAAATATTGTAATGACACTTTTTCAGTGCTTTCTCTGAGTAGATATTTTCCCACTGACTGAAATTCCTATAAGATGCCTTTCTAGTGGCCATGCCATCCTTCTCAGTCCTTCTGAGGGAGTTCTCTGTTACTTCCACACACACATACTCCAACAAGGGCTGGTTGTTGCTCTGTTAGATTTGTCTCTCTCCCACTCAACCCACTCCTCTATTTAAAAGTAAATATGGTTGATAGAGAGAAAGGATGGAGATCTGATTTAATTTAATTTAATTTATTACATTTCTATGCCGCTCAACTCCCAAGGGACTCTGGGTGGCTTACAGCAAAAATAATGCGAACAGTGAACATAGAAAAATTATTTAAAAACATTATAAAAACGTTTTCAAAACATTAAAAGCCCATGCACACCATTCATGGCCGGATCTCGCAAGATTGCAACAGCGAGATCAACGGCCCCAGGCCTGCCAGAAAAGCCAAGTCTTCACCGCTACTAATAGACTACAAGTACTATTTTGCCTAACACTGGCCTGAGCCTTCCGGATGAAGGCCAATAGGGTGGGGTAGTCCGGATCTCTAGGAGGTAACTGGTTCCAGAGAGCTGGGGCAGCCACAGAGAAGGCCCTCCCCCGCGAACCCACCAGCCGGCATTGTTTAGCTGACGGGACCCAGAGGAGACCAACTCTGTGGGATCTTACCGGTCGCTGGGAGCACTGATGCCATTTAGCTGTTGCCTCTTGCCTTCTACCTTCTAGCTAGTTTGGCTGGCTAGAAGAACCAAAAGCATGACAAATGATGGATCAGCTCCATAGCTGTGTAAAAGTATGCTATGACAAGGATATTTATGCATTTATATTCACATATAATATTCAATACTATAATTTTGATACCACCTTGTTTAAAGGCAAAAATTCACTGATGGTGACTTACCAGTCAGATAGTTTTACTCAGATTTCAGCTTTCCAACTGGGTGAAGTAAGCAGTGAGCAAGACTCCCTGGAGGCATAGCCTTAGGGTATTCCAGGAGCAGCTCTCCAGTGATATGGCTTTATTGGATGAGGAAGACTGGCCGGACAGCTCAGAGGCTTCTGCAATAGCATCAACACTGTCTGCATTTGAAGTCATGTGAATCTTTGGTTACTGTTTACTAACCTACTCAGTTTTCATCCTGCTGAAATCTCATAATTCTTAGTGGTTGGATTTTAATGTCATAGTAAAAACAATAGAATTAAAACAACGTACAACTCAAATTGCAATAACAATAGTGATGTATGATAAAAAAATGTCACAACAAGACGTTGGAGGTTACTCTTAGAAAAAGTTCCATTTTTAATAGCTTCCTAAAAGCCATCAGGGTGGGAGTAGTTTGAACTCAGTCTTTAATTGATGATTAATTCCTAGCAAAAGAAACAACAGGCACATTATTGCTTAGATGCTGTCAATGTGTGGCATTATCTCAGGATCCATATTGGCTTTCAAGGAAAACATCAGCTCTGAGCTCTGGAATACTCAACTTAACATGCACACTGAAAGCATATGCAAGCTCATATCTTGTATTTGGTGAAAAAAATCTGTCAAGTTGTTAATATGGCTTTTCATTGAAGAGGAGCTACAATCTTTGCTGTGTTTGTGGCTGTCCTGGTATCCTGCAAGATGATTAGATGACTCATATGATCAGAGGGGCTTGCATTGTTTATTATTTTGTGCAAGTCAGTCTGGAGCCTTATGAGAACCATTGTTTAGCTATAACCTCTGGCCAGAGAGATCATAAAGAGAATTGCCCACCTGAAATACAAGGGAGCTTTGTAGCCTCTTCCTCCTGATAGCTGTCCTTCCTGTGGCACAAGAGCAGTTGAGAAAACACCCCTAAAACTCAAGGCAGCGTTGAGAATATCCTTGGA